AGGAGCACAGCCACACACTATCAACACCATCAAAGGTTCATCTTTTAAGGTCCTAGCGTAACGTTTCAGCCACAACAAAGTCTCTAACTAAACAGTTATCCATGGTGAATATACCTCAGCATCAACAATTCAGTTTTCTTGGAGTACAATCTGGAGGTATAGAAAATATTGGGTGCACTCAAAGAGATTTGTATAATCATGAAAGGGATATCCATGCTGATTTGAAGGGGGGCATGATGGTGAAATGTTTTATGAATATTTAAAATTGGAACAATGAAAGAATCCCTTATTTACTTTTCAAATTAAGGCCGATGAGAAACAAAAGATTACTCGTTGTTTTTGGTCCGATGCAAGATCAAGGCGGGCTTACAAATTTTTCGGTGATGTTGTAATCTTTGATACTACTTATAACATTAATCGCTATGGCCTTATATTTGCACCAATGATGGGGGTTAACAATCATGGTCAAACAATTGTTTTTGCTTGTGGATTTTTGAATCATGAGAGCGTTGATGATTTTGTATGGTTATTTAATTAATTTTTGGAAAGTATGTCTGGTGGTGCCCCGAAGATGATTATTACCGATCAAGACCCAGCGATGACTAAGGTATTCCCTCTTGTTCTTCCAAATATTTTTCACAGGTATTATAGTTTGTATATATTATTAAAAATATTTATATACATAGTCTTTCTTTTTAACACTTTATTTAATTCTTTTGACAGGTATTGTAGTTGGCATATATTAATAAAGTTTTCTGAGAAAATTGATGCAGTGAAGTATAGTATTTATAAAAGTGAGTTCTCGGCTTGCATTTGGAAATCAGAGACTCCTGAAGATTTTGATTTACAATGGGAAAGTCTGATTAAGAAAAGTGGGTTAGAAGGAAACAAGTGGTTGCAAGACCAATATGAACTTCGGTCAAGATGGATTCCTGCATATGTTAATCACATTTTCTCAGCAGACATGTCAAGTAGTCAACGAGCAGAAAGTGTACATGCATTCTTTAAGAAATTTGTTTCAAAGAATAATTCATTGGTTGATTTTATGATACAGTTTGGCAGGGGATTAGTGCGCCAACGACATGAGGAGTTAATGGCCGATCACAAAGATGTAATTGAGAAACCTAAACTTAGAATAAATCATGACTTTTTGGAGCAAATGGTTGATATTTACACGAATGAGATCTATTACAAGTTTGAGGCTGAAGTGTGTGACAGCTTTAACTACAAGTTACAGTTTGTTAGGGCAACTGACAATCAGAGTGTGTATCAAATTCAAAGAAAGAAGCTCGCAAAAAGTAAAGTCCGCGAAATTGTTTACGACAAGGACTTGGATTTGGTTTCTTGTAGTTGTAAAAAGTCCGAAAGCGCTGGAATTCCATGTACGCACATTATATCATATTTGATGAAAATTGATGCTGAAATATTACCCGATAAATACATCTTAAAGAGGTGGGCTAAGTCTGCAAAATCGGGGACATTGGTTGATGATAAAGGTATGCAGATAAGCCCTGACAATTCTTATCTTTTAACGTGGAGTCAATTTATCCAAGCATCTTTGGAATTAGTTGACAAGTCCCTTCTATATGAAGAAACGAGGAAGATGTTTACTGATGGAGTGCGTATCATTAATGAGCAAATCAATCAATTTCTTAGTAGCCACATGGTTAGTGGCTGCACGGTTGCAAAGAGCTTCACCGAGAAAAATAATCAAATGAGTAGTAATTTAATGGATGATGGTACTAGTGTGCAGGATTCTTGTACTTTTCAAATAGTTTCAATGAACCTGATCAAGTGCGAGCAAAGGGGTGCGGCAAAAGATTGAAGGGAGGAAAAGAGAAAGCAATGGCTAGAGCAAAAAATAAAAAAGATAGACGTTGCCACGGGTGTGGTAAAGTAGGCCAATCACATGATAAGCGAAATTGTCCGGCACTCACAAATCCGTAAGTAATAATTCTTTTATTATTTATGTTGTCTTATTATTCACCTTCTATTATACCCCTTGATGTATATATATATATTTTTATTATAATGTAGGTCTTCTACATGCGGTGATACAAATTGGCAAGAGGGTAATGGGTCATCAAGTGAATATGGGGATGATGTGCTCCTATGAAGACGGTGACAAATTTGTATGGTTAGTATAGCCTTGTTCTTATTAATGCAAGTATGATTTTCAGGAATTTATACCATTCTATTTTATTTGTTGGAAACATGCAGGCTTGGACACTACACTGTTCCACAAGAGATGATGATGTTTGCAAGTGGTTCACTGCTTGGCTATTTTTGGATGGATGCCGATCTTAAATGGATATTGGTTGTATTTTTCTAGGGAGATATTATTATAACTTGAGAAATGTGGTTGTATTATTCATTACACTGATGGATATGCGTTCTTTTTTCTAGAGAATGTGGTTGTATTAATTACACTTGAGCAATGTGGTTGTATTAATTACACTTGAGCAATGTGGTTGTATTATTCATGATTAAACTCCTTGTGCTGAAACTGTCTACTCTGCTCAAGCGAGCGACTATGTACTCAGGTTTGTTCAAGCTTAAACTCCTTGTGCTGAAACTGTCTGCTCTGCTCAAGCAATGTGGTTTTATTTTTCTAGGGAGATATTATTATAACTTGAGCAATGTGGTTGTATTATTCATTACACTGATGGATATGCGTTCTTCTTTCTAGAAAATGTGGTTGTATTAATTACACTTGAGCAATGTGGTTGTATTATTCATGATTAAACTCCTTGTGCTGAAACTGAGTGCTTAGATAATAAGGTAAGCATGAATTTTTCTTTCGCAGATATGATATGGGTTTTGTTCATAGATAATGATATACTCATTCATAGATAATGATGTACTCATTTCAATTGCCTACTTGACGTCAACAACATTTCAAAGTATTAGATCTTTGCTGTGTCATTTTCGAGCATAGGACTTGAGTAAGATTCATGGTGAAGACTGCTATTTTGTTAAGGAAAACTTGTGCAATCTACACTAGTGGATTACTGTAATTACAAAAGCGTCGAGAGATCAAAAAAAGTAGTACTAAAAGTTTTCCTACTAAAGATTGAGGCCTGGAGCTGCCGTCCACAGGACTGAGCAGTGCTGCTTAAGATATTAATCTCATGTTTCAGCACCTGAAGCACATCACTTAAGTTCAAACTTAGATCATCCATCAAACTTAGATCATCCTATCTGGGGTGGGGGGGATAAGAAATCAAATCACCCATCAAACTTAGATCATATGCATAATCAGTCTTATCTCAGATAAATGACTTGCGTCATAATTTTTTGCATACATAGTTTCAGTTTCCAGGCATGCATCTGTGCTAATGTACACTATGTATTTTCATATAGAGCATAAATATGCTAGGATTAATTCCAAAGTTTTTTTATTAGCACATAAACTAGTGGATTACTGTAATTACAAAAGCATGGTAATACAATATGTGTTGACACAGGTTCTGATAAATTCTGGGAGTTAGTTTATCCTCAGCTTAGTTTATCCAACCAATACAAGCTCAGCCACAAATTACATCACATGTTTTTTGCAATGGAGAAACCAACAAATACCGCAACGATACATACTAGAAACACTAATATTGTAAACAATGAACCTAATACAAAAGCATAGATAGAGAAAATAGAAGTTTCCCTAAGTTTTTCCTTGTCCTCATCCAGATTATGCCTCACTGGATATCTTTCTTCTTGAGCATACTCAGATGTTTGGACATACCTCGAGCTGGATGCTGGATCACGAGCGAGTGTGTGCTTCTCTCATTCAATCAAGGCCTCTTCGTACGTTGCATACCCTTTGTAGGATGCATTTGGGAACTTATCTACCTAAGATTTACATTCCTCCCAATTATAAAAAATACCACATCGTCGACCTCTCTTCACAACATAAAAACTTTTTCTAGCCATGGATAACCTGAAAATACCCCAAATTGGAGGGTAAACAAAATAAACAAAACATACTTATTTTTACATATGATCAGTTAGCAAACAAAGTTAAAAAAAGTAATTTTCACCACTACAATACATGATCCGTTCTTAATAGTTAGATCTTGTTTCCTTTAATTTTTACATATTTATTTTCAAAGTAATTTTGTATACTTATCCAAATGCAGACCTGTTTTTCTATCCTTATTTCGTGTTGACAATATACAGTACAACAGTTATTGCCTAAATGGTGTAAAGGAGGAGGCAACCCAGTCCAATCTAAGGCAATTTCTCTGACTCAAAAAGCTTCTGATCTTACCAGAGTCAGTGACTGAAATGAAATCTTGAGCTTGAAAACTCGAGCAATTGTGATTATCCAATAGCGTCAGTCTTACAAACCGAACAATCGGAGCCTACAAACCTCATAGCAATATAGCATAAACTATAAGCTCAACTATTAAGTACACGGATTGCATACACAATATATAACAAATCCAACGACAATATCATGCAGATATCTAACGCAGCGAGCACCCAAAAGTACTTGATTGGCAAAGTTAGATCTTAGCTGAAAAAAGAGATTTCCTAAGCTTGAATCTCACTGCTACTTTCAACCAAATTCGGCTGATACCATGTTTTTCCAGGGGGAAGCTCAACAGCTGAAATTGAAGAACGACAAAAACAGAACAAGTCGGATTTCTCCAAGATTAAAATTCCATTTCAAGCATCAAATCCCTAGTTCTTGTAGTCAATCTATAATTCCTAAAAAAATACCGACAAAAACCACAGAGATCAAAAGATCAAAGCTCTGTACCTTCGACCACGAGCTCGTCCGCTTCGGCTCCTCGACCTCGCTAGCTAAATAGCTGAAAGCGTCATCAAATAGTTAAGAGTCGGAGTTGGGGGAGAGGTCGGTGGCTTGCTGGCTTGATAGAGGAAGTCGATCGGCGGTGACTTGGACCCGGAGTTGGGGGAGAGGTCGCTAAAACACCTGTAATAAAAAAATCAAAAAAATCCTAATCAAAACCTGTAACAAGCTTGGAATGGGCGTGATCCTTACTTGAGTTAGGGGAAGGCGGTGGTTTGATAGAGGAGGAGAAATGGGGATCTCGAGAGAGCGCTCGAGCTCGTAGGAAGATTGGCCGCGATCGGCGGTGATGCTGCTTTCGCGGTGGGCGGAGTTGGGGAAGTCGATGGCTTGACGGAGGAGGAGAAATGGGGGAAGTCGGCTTTTTGATGGAGGAGATTCAATTCTCTGTGATTTTGGGGATAAGAATTTTAGCTGATGAAGAGAGAGTGGTCACGAGGGATAAGGATTTTGGGGATTTTGTCGTTGCTTTTTTTCAAAAAAACCCCTTGCTTTCGAGGTCACGAGCTCGAGATGCGTTTCATCAATTGTCGGATGTTTTTTTTAAAAAGACCTTGCTTTCGACGAGAACAGCTAGATGCGTACGCATCAGTGCGCATGAGAAACGCGCTGTATATGTATATATATATATACATATATACCTAATACAATAATATATATTATATATATATATAATACTTACTATTATAGTATTATTAATTTAGTATAGCAAACCTGCTTGTCATATTTAAGTGGTTCGTTCCGCCTGGTTTCTGTGACTCGGTTCCCGTGTCAATTTAAGTGATAGCAAAAAAGTTTATCGCACCAAATTTTAAAGCCAATTCATCCAATTCGTCTAGATTCCCTCGCATGATATAAAATATTTAGAAATAAATGAGTGGCTAGGAAGTTTGGGTGACATCAACTTTAAGCTTGATAGACTACTCCCTTACACACACACACCCCACACACAACACACACCACACACACACACACACACACACACCATACCATATAAAAAATATATATACCTACTATAAGATATAATATATTATATAGGTATACCTATATATTATTAATATATATATCTATACTATACTATATAAAATATTATCTAAATAAGGAATATGAGTATACTTGCGGCCAAGGATCTTGGTAGTGATTGGACACATCTTGTCCATCATTCAGCAAACACTTGAACATGGAGCGCCACTCCATGGCTCTGTGATGTCTTTATGACAGATTGTGTGCACATCTACTACCCAAGTGATCCTTGCTCCAAGTTTTTGATTACTATTACCACTATTCCGTTCTCACCTATACTAGTATTATAATATAAATATATATATATATATATAATAATAGTATTATAGTAATATATAGATTATATATAGTCATATTAAATATATAGAATAATATATGTGCTAAAAATACCAAATTGGTATTTTTATACAACCATTTTGCTAGTTTGGTATTTTTAAAAACTTCGACGATGATAAAGCATTTAATCTCATCCTTTTTGTCAATAAGACCATTTTCTCAAAATTCCGGCGAGAAAATTTATTTTTAACCCCCTTATCTCCCAAATTTATTAAATTTATACCCTCCCTCCGCTCCTCCTCCTCCTCCTCTCCCATTCCCCTCTCCCTCCAGCGCACCATCGTCCTCCTCCTCTCCCATTCCTCTCTCCCTCCAGCGCACCATCGTCCTCCTCCTCTCCCATTCCCCTCATCCCTCCCTATCCTCCTCCTTCTCCTCATCCTCTCCCATTCCCCTCTCCTCCCTCTCCTCCTCTCCAGTTGAATTCCTCTTTTGTTTTAACCTGGCATGGATTTTGTCTGTTTTCTTTACCATCTCTTAATCAGAGCATCAAGACTATGAATCTTCAGGCAACTGCAAAATCAATTGAATGACACTGCCCAAGAAGAATATCCCACGTGTCGAATGTGAAAAATCAAGCTGTTCGTCCTATATGAATAGAACATAACAACAATAATGACAATCATATGCAACTTCAGTCTCATGGAACCAACTTGTTGCCCGAGGCTTTTATTTTTTAGTGGAGTGTCCAGATGAAGTAGAATCTGCCGAATTAAAGTGAAATACGTCCCTTAAAGAAATCCAATAACCAAAAAGATACAAGCTCTGCAGTTCTCCAAGGACTTTACTCGGTCCTGTCCAGCTCACCCGCATAATGATTTATTAATGATAATTTAATTTACTTAACTTCTTCATATATCATGTCATATAACATATATAAGAAATAATGAGTAAATTCATGCCATCTATGATCTGTTGATATGAGGCTGAGGGAGCAATGACCAAATAAAACCTACTTTAGAAGGAGAACGATGGTGCGCTTGAGGGAGAGGGGAATGGGAGAGGAGGAGGAGGAGGAGAGGGAGGAGAGGGAGAGGAGGAGGATGACCCAGAGGAGGGAGATAGGGACGGAGGAGAGGAGGAGAAGGACGATGGTGCGCTGGAGGGAGAGGGGAATGGGAGAGGAAGAGGAGGAGGAGGAGGAGATGGAGGGTATAAATTCAATAAATTTGGGAGATAAGGGGTTAAAAATCAAATTTACTCGCCGAAATTTTGAAAAAAGGGTCTTATTGACAAAAAGGACGAGATTAAATGTCTTATCGTCATCGGAGTTTTTAAAAATACCAAACTGGCAAAATAGTTTGTATAAAATAATAATTTTGTAT